AGACAAAACATACAGTATTGGAACAACTTGAGAGCAAATTATCTTTTTGCACTTAACTATTAGTTTAAGTGTCATATAGGACAGAATGTGTAGCATATAACCATGCCCTGTGCAGTACTGTGAAGTACGACAGCCTGCTGTACTCACTGCTGACCCTTCTGCTTGTGTTTTCACACAGGACAGACATGTCTCGCTGGTCAGAGTGCAGTGTGCTGCCTCAGATTTAGTCAATAATGACGCCATCTGTTCCCTGTGAGGCTGTGCGTGTGTGTGTGTGTGAGAGCTGTAATGTGGGAAAGGCCATCTGAGGAGAGCGCAGCCATACAGAAAAACTCATGTGTGAACACAAACACACACGCTCATGCTATGAAGAGCTGCACTCTGCCCTCATTGTCCTAACATGACCAATCATCACACTGCAACACAAGCAGGGGATTATGGAGCACAATGCAGAAAACATAAGAAAGAGATATTGATGTAAATTGTCATATCATAAAAAACTATTTGGTAGCACCAATGGACAGTCATGAAATCAGACCGTAACATAAGGCTGGGCGATATAGCTAAAAAATGTATCAACGATATAATGTTTCATATCGTTCGGTATCGATAATTATTGACATTTTTTTATAACCTTTTTTAAAACAAAGAGCAATAGAATTTTTTTTTAATTTAACCACTGTGTTTTTAAATTAACCCAATTTATTGAGACAACAGTCAAACACACAAAAAAAATTAAACAAATGAGCAAAATAATGTAGCATATTTAAATTGTCAACGCAAGGAAATAAGTCTATAAAAAACGTGCATTATTTCTACATTAACTCATATAAATCAAATTTAATTTAATAAATTGCATAAACAATTATGAACAAAACAGCATCATGTATTTATGCATTGCTTAATCCAAAGAGCCGAAGTGCCGCTCACACAGACTGCATTTAAAAACATGTGAGACGCAGTGAAAAGGAATAAACCTCCACAAATTGGTGACGTGTTTTCTAAAAGTTTAAACTGTTTTAACTTTGCATGGCTACATCTCTTGTGTGACGCGAGTGCAGCAGTCATATTTGTCATTCTAAAAGATGCGCTGAATATGCGTTCTGTGTGAATGGCTTGGTTTCGGTTTTAACCTAATCAAGAACTTATCGGTATTGACCTTCTATATTTCTATAATATTTTGAATGCATAATGCAGCAACTGTGTCTCGTGGGCTAGACTAACAAAACATTAAAATGCAACAACGTCACTTACATCATCATCACCGCATCTCGTGTGCCACTGATGACGCTCCCTGACGCACACCTAATATTTGATTTGACTATTTTTGCATTCAAATGCAAATATTTATTTTAAATTCAACTAATATTCATTTTTTTATTTTACAATCGCCTCATCACAGGCAGGCACAGCACTCATTTCAGCATGTGTTCATGTTTTTGTGTGCAGTCTGCGTCACTCAGCGCACGTGCTGTGCACTATATCGAAAATTTTTTCGTTATCGAAGAAGGTGTACCGTTGATAAATATCGATACCGTTTTATCGCCCAGGCCTACAGTGACACCATATTAGTTTGATATATAGCCTACTCTATGGTGCTAAATTATACCATGTTCAAATAGCAATACCAGGAAGATCTTCACAAACTACACAAAATGATGGACCTGTGGCAGTTTTTAACTCATTATGCATGTTTGAAGTGAACCAGACACACATGTAACCAGTGATATGCTGTTGTTAATGAACAACACAGCATTTCTTGTCAAAGGTCAGCTTGAAACAGGTTGCCAACCAAAGGAAAATTACACTGTAAAAATATTGATCAAAGTAAATAAATCAAAGATGATTGTAGCATGTGTTACAAGAAAATACAATTTCAGTTTGTCTACTTCAACATGTCATGTACAATGTAATGTGCTAGTTGCCATTTCTTTGTAATTATGTGTGATATTTACTAGCAATGAAATGAAGCAATTAGCAATGAGTGAAAATTGCTTCAAAGAAAATCCTACTCCATTTTCTTTCTCAGTGTACCCACCACTGCAAATAAATACTGCATTTGGCTGGTGATGGCTGTTAATTTCTCACCATAAACATTTCATTGTACTTCAAATTTCTTCAAAGGACACCTTGATATTGTATATGTGAAAAAATGGCATTACCATGCTATTATTGTTAGTACCGTAGTATCTGCTACAAAAACAAAAGGATCTCAGATAGAGCACCTGACTCAACTCTTGAGTAGAGAAACAGGTGTATCTGAACAGCTGAGGATCATGGGATGTCTTGAGCTATTAGTTAATTTGGTAGCGAGGATTAAATGATTTTATTAAATATAGACCCATTGACATGGCAACAGCGACGTGAACGAGGACAGCAGATGGTGTTTTCATGAGAAGAATGTGTCTGATAAAAGAATAAACCGCCTGACTTTGTTAGCGTATCCTCTCTGAGCTGATCAAATTACATGTTTTCTAATGTCACTGCAGACAAACGCTGCCTATGTGAAAAAAGAGTCTGCCTATTTGAAAACTAAACCCAGTCGTAGGAATATATTACATATAAACAATTCAGTCACAGAAGTGTGTATCCAAAGGAAAACTGCCTTTTTGCAGGATTGTTTTAAAAGAGTGGAATAAGTCCACATCAGTATACACTGTGACCCCCTCTTAGCCCCGATCACAGTCTCATTTCAATGTTTTCTGGATGAGTGGTTGCTACGGCAATATGCAGTTGCTAAGGTGTGCAGAGTGTAAGTCAAAAGAATCCACACCCAAGTCTGTATGGCATTATGTTCTCTACAATATATGGCCAGTGTTTCTGCCTCAATGGATTTTTACTATTTTTGCATTCAAATGCAAATATTTATTTTAAATTCAACTAATATTCATTTTTTTATTTTACAATCGCCTCATCACAGGCAGGCACAGCACTCATTTCAGCATGTGTTCATGTTTTTGTGTGCAGTCTGCGTCACTCAGCGCACGTGCTGTGCACTATATCGAAAATTTTTTCGTTATCGAAGAAGGTGTACCGTTGATAAATATCGATACCGTTTTATCGCCCAGGCCTACAGTGACACCATATTAGTTTGATATATAGCCTACTCTATGGTGCTAAATTATACCATGTTCAAATAGCAATACCAGGAAGATCTTCACAAACTACACAAAATGATGGACCTGTGGCAGTTTTTAACTCATTATGCATGTTTGAAGTGAACCAGACACACATGTAACCAGTGATATGCTGTTGTTAATGAACAACACAGCATTTCTTGTCAAAGGTCAGCTTGAAACAGGTTGCCAACCAAAGGAAAATTACACTGTAAAAATATTGATCAAAGTAAATAAATCAAAGATGATGTGTTACAAGAAAATACAATTTCAGTTTGTCTACTTCAACATGTCATGTACAATGTAATGTGCTAGTTGCCATTTCTTTGTAATTATGTGTGATATTTACTAGCAATGAAATGAAGCAATTAGCAATGAGTGAAAATTGCTTCAAATAAAATCCTACTCCATTTTCTTTCTCAGTGTACCCACCACTGCAAATAAATACTGCATTTGGCTGGTGATGGCTGTTAATTTCTCACCATAAACATTTCATTGTACTTCAAATTTCTTCAAAGGACACCTTGATATTGTATATGTGAAAAAATGGCATTACCATGCTATTATTGTTAGTACCGTAGTATCTGCTACAAAAACAAAAGGATCTCAGACAGAGCACCTGACTCAACTCTTGAGTAGAGAAACAGGTGTATCTGAACAGCTGAGGATCATGGGATGTCTTGAGCTATTAGTTAATTTGGTAGCGAGGATTAAATGATTTTATTAAATATAGACCCATTGACATGGCAACAGCAACGTGAACGAGGACAGCAGATGGTGTTTTCATGAGAAGAATATGTCTGATAAAAGAATAAACCGCCTGACTTTGTTAGTGTATCCTCTCTGAGCTGATCAAATTACATGTTTTCTAATGTCACTGCAGACAAACGCTGCCTATGTGAAAAAAGAGTCTGCCTATTTGAAAACTAAACCCAGTCGTAGGAATATATTACATATAAACAGTTTAAGCTGGTCCTTTACTGGTTTAAGCTGGTCCTTTGCTGGATTAAGCTGGTCCTTTACTGGTTTAAGCTGGTCCTTTACTGGTTTAAGCTGTCTATTTTACATGGATAAACTACAACAGGTAAATATGTCAGCTGTGTCAATGCTAGGGCTGGATTGACAATATTGATTTCTCATTTTTAATCTTCATTTTGATGAACCAAGGTCTTTTAGTGTGTGCTGTTTTCAGTTAATGTGTGGCCAAAACTTCACAAAATATGTGTAGTAGCAATACATTTTCTTCTTGTATTGCAAAGAATTGACTCGGGTTTTCATTCAAATTTCAATCGTTCTTGCTCAATAAACAGAAACAAAATAAACACCGGTCAAAAAGCTGTGTAGCTCTGTCTTTCTTTCTTTCTTCCCAAAGGGGCACCAAAAAGGCACTTAAAGACAGTCCAATAATAAAACGGAGCATACCATTACAGAATGAACATGGGGGGTGTTTAACGAATATACATATAAATCCAAACACATGAAAATTATACCTACTCATGCACATCTAACTTTAACGCTAAACTTAATTATTCAAATTATGGCTCTTACAAAGTGTAGTGAGCCTACATCTAATAATCACAATAAGCTTTGTGCTTTGTTTACTTTCATATGAGACAAATTCTCAGTTTTCAAATTCATTCAATTTGATTAAGTAATTCAAACAATAAAAGTCGTTTTGATGTACATGAACCAATCATCATCTTCCTCTTCTAGTTAAAGCATGAAATGAACATGAATGAACATCAGAAGGTATACTGAAATAAATAGTACAACTTACTGAATTGCATTATATTTCATGCAATCGCTCAGTCAGTGTTTCAATTGTGGAAAGACATTAATTTAACCAAAACTTTTAACAAATATGTCACAAAATGTTGCATTTACCTCAGGAAAGTCATTCAATATCCATAGTTCTTTAGTCGGCTAGAAAAAAAAGAGGAATATTTTGCTAAATACAGGAACTATATTACATATTGATTATATTTTTAATTAGCCTGTTAGTGATGTCTTCATTGTGTAATGTATGTTTGAAAAACAAGTATTATTACAGCCATTGTTTAAATGTTAATATATCAACAATGACTTGGAGTAGAAATATAATTATATCATTAAAAGTTTATATTAAAACTGCCTTATGTGCAAATTAAATGTTTATATACAAATCAGTTTTATGTGAGTGTTGATTATTCGATAAATTTGATTCATTATGAATTATTAAATAAACTTTAATTATTTTAATTTTTTTTTTCCTAAATGAAAACTTACTATAAATCTGTTAAATCTGTTCTTACCAGAAAGACGTTGGAAGGTTTAGTCCTGCCAGGGCCGAGGTGGATGAATCCCTCCCAACATGAAAACCTAGAATAAAATGTTGAGAGCGATTAGAATACATGTCCAGACACACAATTTGTCCAGACACACAACAAATCAACAACAAATTGTAAGTGAAGAAGGGTAACGCCAAATATTATTTCATAACAACTGCAAAGCATCCATTTACTACTGTATGCACAATTTGCTCCTTAAATGTATTTTTTCTGTACCTCAAGGGTGTCCGACACCGCCAGCGATATTACAGATATAATGGATAGCTCTCTCTAAGTGTTATACACCTCTTTGGTTCAGACAAACATGCAATCCCACCCTAATCTTACACCAACTTGAGGAACCTGATATATTGGGCCACACAAACAAATGTTAGGAAAGTACCGCAGAGCCAGTGTTTACACTCTTCTAAAAGTCAACCTATGAATGGCTTACTTTTAGTTGAGTCTACACATTATACTGGAATGGGTGAAAGTTAAACACACACACCCACAATTCACCCTAAAGATACTTTCACAGACACTGCCAAAAACAAAAGTGTAATATTATAATGTTCTATTATGCAACTTCCAGTTTACGGTTAGCAGTAAGCAGGAGCCCCGTCTGTGTTTGTATCGCAGGATATATGTCCATGGTAGAGCGCAGGGTTTCAGGAAACCAGCCCCGTCTGTCCCCCGAGGAGCATTACCACCTGCTTGACCTCTGCTGATCACCAGATGGAACAATCCTGACTGCTTCCCCACAACATCAGAGGAGGATGTCCTTCAGGAGCCTTTCCAAAGCGCCTCAGTCAGTTCTAGTCAAACCACTCAAGTGCTCTGGCCTCAAGTCACATTCAAGTGGGAGAAATAGTTTAGAAGGTCTTTGAGGAGATGGCTTGGGTTTGAGGAATTTATAAACTAGGAACTCATTGTGTCATGCTTATAAAGGAAGTCAACCCACTAAAAGAAATGTGTCATTTTTACAGTGAAAATCTTGATGTGAGCCAAGCTCTGAAATATCATTCAAATCTGCATATAAATTGAGAAAAATAGAGTGCCAAGGCCTGATGCCACAAGCTCCTGGTTCTTGCATGTGTTGTAACCAAATGTAATGCAGGTTTTCTCATACAGAATGAAAGATGTGATTCGAGAGCTGCAACAGAGGGGAATATTTTAGTAAATAATAAATTATATATTTTTTCTGTTCCTTGCTGTTTAAGATTATTTTGAGGATTCAATGAACTCACCACATGAACTGTTTGCGTGCCTAATTTTAGAGAATTACAGTTCTGCTCATAAGTTTACATACCCCTCGCAGAATATGCAAAACGTTAACAACTCTCACTAAATAATATGGATAGTAAAAATGTAGTACTTTCCTGAATAATCTCTCTCTCTCTCTCTCTTTCGGCTTGCTCCCTTTCTTGTCAGGCGTCACCACAGCGGCATGAATCACAAGCCAATTTGGCACATTTTACGCCGGATACTTTCCAGAATAAACTATTTCATATAAAATATATTTAAATATACTCTACAAGACAAAATAATAACTGAATTTATAAAAATGACCCCGTTCAAAAGTTTACAATGAATCTTAATGCAGCACTGCGTATCGCTATCCGGATGATCCACGACTGTTTTCATGTTTTGTTATATTTGTTTGAGAGTCCCTCGTTTGCCATGAATAGTTCAACTTCCCGCTGTTCTTCAGAAAACTCCTCCAGCAACTGCATATTCTTTGGTTTTTCCGATTCTTCTGCATATCTGACCACTTTCCAACATGTGTACATTTTTCTTACTTTGTTTAAATATCTTCTTTTTTTTTCATTTAATACTGCTCTTCAGAAGCAACATAAAATGTTTCCCAGAAGACAAAATAAGTACAATATACCCTGATCATCCAATTCAAAAAGTCCGGCTCTCAATGCATCACATTGCGTCAGTAAATGCTTTAACCGTTCGTAATAATTGTGCATGAGTCCCTCAGTTGTGCTCAGTGTGAAAAGATGGATCTCAAAATCATACAGTCACTGCTGGAAAGCGGTCAAATATGCAGAAGATGCTGGCAAACCTGAGAATTTGCATTAGCTGGAGGATTTTTCTGAAGAACAGCAGGCAGTTTAATTGTTTAACTGAGGGACTCATGAACAACTAGTAAAGAACATAAAAAGAGTCATGGATCATCCAGGTTATGACACACAGCATTATGAGTAAACTTTTGAATGGGTTCATTTTTATAAATTCAGTTATTTTATCTTGTGGAGTGTATGTAAACATCTGTTATGTGAAATGGCTTATTCAAGACAGCACTAAATCAAAATAACATGCATTTTTTATGACCCCTCTTATTTAGTTAAAATTAACATTTTGCATATTTGCATATTCATAGACTTAGAGGAGAACTGTAAGTACTAAACGGATTGAATTAAAATTACAGTAAAAAAGTTCATTGTGAAGTAGCAAGACTGCTTTAAGAATAGGCAACATTTCACACATAATAATTAAAGTGGAGAGAGAGAGAGAGAGAGAGAGAGAGAGAGAGAGAAAGGAAAGCACAAAAGCAGTAGAAAGTAAGCAAGAGCAGCTATTTGTTTATGTGATGTGTTTACCCTAAAGACTCCTAATCACATGTAATGGCTTGACAAATGGGCTGTTTTCTACCATGTTTGCGAATGGAGAGATGAAGGGAACAAAGCACACATGCATCATTTTCAGAATGTGGAAACGCATGCTGCCTAATGCAAGCATATTAAGATATAGTGTTGAAAGAATAATCCACCAAACTCAGACTGAAAGTTTAAACTCAGCTTGGGTAAGGCCTTTCCAACCTTCTACACAAATATATTCACCAAGCAAAAGAAATATTAAAGTTAAAACAGATGTCAGCTAGTACAAATGCATCTGATGCCATAGTAATTCATGGTTAGAGATGTAGGTTCAAGCCTGGCTTGCAACAATTGCAGGTTTTCTCATACAGAATGAAAGATGTGATTCGAGAGCTGCAACAGAGGGGAATATTTTAGTAAATAATAAATTATATATTTTTTCTGTTCCTTGCTGTTTAAGATTATTTTGAGGATTCAATGAACTCACCACATGAACTGTTTGCGTGCCTAATTTTAGAGAATTACAGTTCTGCTCATAAGTTTACATACCCCTCGCAGAATATGCAAAACGTTAACAACTCTCACTAAATAATATGGATAGTAAAAATGTAGTACTTTCCTGAATAATCTCTCTCTCTCTCTCTCTTTCGGCTTGCTCCCTTTCTTGTCAGGCGTCACCACAGCGGCATGAATCACAAGCCAATTTGGCACATTTTACGCCGGATACTTTCCAGAATAAACTATTTCATATAAAATATATTTAAATATACTCTACAAGACAAAATAATAACTGAATTTATAAAAATGACCCCGTTCAAAAGTTTACAATGAATCTTAATGCAGCACTGCGTATCGCTATCCGGATGATCCACGACTGTTTTCATGTTTTGTTATATTTGTTTGAGAGTCCCTCGTTTGCCATGAATAGTTCAACTTCCCGCTGTTCTTCAGAAAACTCCTCCAGCAACTGCATATTCTTTGGTTTTTCCGATTCTTCTGCATATCTGACCACTTTCCAACATGTGTACATTTTTCTTACTTTGTTTAAATATCTTCTTTTTTTTCATTTAATACTGCTCTTCAGAAGCAACATAAAATGTTTCCCAGAAGACAAAATAAGTACAATATACCCTGATCATCCAATTCAAAAAGTCCGGCTCTCAATGCATCACATTGCGTCAGTAAATGCTTTAACCGTTCGTAATAATTGTGCATGAGTCCCTCAGTTGTGCTCAGTGTGAAAAGATGGATCTCAAAATCATACAGTCACTGCTGGAAAGCGGTCAAATATGCAGAAGATGCTGGCAAACCTGAGAATTTGCATTAGCTGGAGGATTTTTCTGAAGAACAGCAGGCAGTTTAATTGTTTAACTGAGGGACTCATGAACAACTAGTAAAGAACATAAAAAGAGTCATGGATCATCCAGGTTATGACACACAGCATTATGAGTAAACTTTTGAATGGGTTCATTTTTATAAATTCAGTTATTTTATCTTGTGGAGTGTATGTAAACATCTGTTATGTGAAATGGCTTATTCAAGACAGCACTAAATCAAAATAACATGCATATTTTATGATCCCTCTTATTTTGTTAAATTAACATTTTGCATATTTATAAACTGTAAGTACTACATGACTGAATTAAAATGACAGTAAAAAAGTTCATTGTGAAGTAGCAAGACTGCTTTAAGAATAGGCAACATTTCACACATAATAATTAAAGTGGAGAGAGAGAGAGAGAGAGAGAGAGAGAGAGAGAAAGGAAAGCACAAAAGCAGTAGAAAGTAAGCAAGAGCAGCTATTTGTTTATGTGATGTGTTTACCCTAAAGACTCCTAATCACATGTAATGGCTTGACAAATGGGCTGTTTTCTACCATGTTTGCGAATGGAGAGATGAAGGGAACAAAGCACACATGCATCATTTTCAGAATGTGGAAACGCATGCTGCCTAATGCAAGTATATTTAGATATAGTGTTGAAAGAATAATCCACCAAACTCAGACTGAAAGTTTAAACTCAGCTTGGGTAAGGCCTTTCCAACCTTCTACACAAATATATTCACCAAGCAAAAGAAATATTAAAGCTAAAACAGATGTCAGCTAGTACAAATGCATCTGATGCCATAGTAATTCATGGTTAGAGATGTAGGTTCAAGCCTGGCTTGCAACAATTCCCCCCCATCTCTTTCACATGCAGTAAGTAAATACTGCAAGCTCAATATTAAGAGATACTGGCACTTTTAGATCTAGATCTGTGTCTTGGCTCTGTAGTTTCCATGGTGACGCAGTTATATATGAATTGTATATATATGAATTGAACAAATTATACACACACACACACAACTCTCAAAGCTTTTAACAGAGGCAGTGTTACATAGCTTTCACAAATAGATGAGAATAGATTAGATCAGGGGTGTCAAACTCAAGTCCTGGAGGGCCGGAGCC